GAGCCGGGAGCCCGATGTGGGACTCGATCCCAGGACTCCGGGATCATGACCTGAGCCGAAGGCAGTCGCTTAACCAACTGAGCCACCCAGGCGCCCGACACACACTTTTTAGTGCATACTTCTCTTGGGATAATTTTCCAGAAGTGAATTTGAAAGAGTAAAAGCATTTGTAAAATTTTATGGCTTTTTAAAACTACTTCCAAGTTATTCTCCAGAAGATATATTGATTTCTGTTTCTTTACAAGCAGTACATTTATTTTAAAGTTTTTTTGCAAATTCGACAGGCAGAGGTACACATCTTATAATTTGAATTTCTTTCATATTTTTGAGTTGGACAATTTTTTTGTCTATTTGTTTCTTTCAGGATAGCTTCTTCTCATGTATTTTTTTCATAATTGATTTGTCAGGTTTTTGAGATGTATTTATGGTACATTTATCATTTTTATTATAAAAAGCTTTTTCTTTTCTGGCTTCTGTGTCTGTGCAGATGTTCACACTACCCTGGATGTCTTAGGCCTGCCTCCCTGTCTACTGAATCCCACTTGTCCCTTCTGACCTTTTCCATCAGGCTTTTCTTACTTTTCTGGCTTCTTTTATAGGAATTTAGTCCATTGACACTTCTTCCTGGTCTCTCAATTGCTAGATGAATCACATAGAATCCTGTAGTTTGCTGATGATATAGTGTCTGTATTTTTTGTCTCCTAGTGAGAATGGGAGTCTTCAAATAGTAGGACTGTGCCTAGGTTTTCTTTTTTATGTGCCCATTGTCCCAGACACATAGTAGGGATCCAAAGAGTTTGCTTGAATGTACCAACATACGCAAACAACCTCATCATCATGTTTGCTGTGCAGAAAACCACACCTATCCGGTCCCAAGCTGACCTGAAGAAATTGCCTTTGGAAGTGACCACCAGACCTTCCACTGAGGTAAAGCCCAGGACGGGGGGAAGGGCTTTTCCTTAGGTGTCTTGTGCTAGGATCAGTGTTCTCATTCTCTCCGGTTCTCTTTTAGGAACCTGCACGTAGACCTCAGCGACCTCGGTCACCTCCTTTACCTGCTGTGATCAAGAATGCCCCCAGCAGACCCCCTTCCCTGCAAGCTCCCAGGCCAGCCAGCCAGCCCCGAAAGGCTCCTGTCATCAGCAGTACCCCAAAGCCTCCTTCCCTGGCAGCTCGGGAGGAGGCCAGTACATCCAGGCTGCTGCAACCACCCGAGGCACCCCGAAAGCCTGCTAGCACACTGGTTAAGACTGCGCCCCGGCCCACCCCTGTGGTGCAGCCACTGGCACCATCTCTGCTACCCAACTCCAAGAGCCCTCGGGAGGTCCCGGCTCCCAGAGCCATCAAGACTCCAGTGGTCAAGAAGCCAGAGCCACCCAGTAAACTCTCCCCAGTGAGATGCTTTTTCTCTTCCAGCCCCGAGTCTACCCTCAGTGGTGTAGGAATGGAATAAGGCTGTGTCAAAGCTGTTTTGGGGGAGCCTCACTGGAGATCATCAAATCTAAAGCTTCCTGTTGCCCCTGAGGAGGAGTCTCAATAGCTGAAGGGACTTGATGTGGTCAGGGCACAGAGCAAGTTGGTTTCCTGTCCAGGGAGCTCTTCACTGCTCCCTTCAAGTTTTGGTCTGCCATATATTTGAGTCCTCTCCACCAGCTTCTGTGGTGTAGGTGTAGGTTGGCAGCCTGGTGACCGCCTTGCTGGGCTGCAACAGTGGTCAGCATGTCTCAGGGAGGTCACAGCTGGCTGGCCAGGCAGGCTAAGGGAGAAGTAAACTGAGAGGCTCCCCCTACGACAGCTTTGAGCAAAGGTCCTTGTGGGCACAGGGATCAGGAGGTTGCTGTATACGGAGTAATGTCGGGAGGCTCAGCCCTGGGGGACCTGAGAAGCACACAAGTGGAACAGCTCCTTTAGGCCAGATGGAACCTTCCTGCACTTCAAGGGCTGACACGGCCCCTCCTCACATTCCCTCTCCTCTTGCTATAGACCACTCCTGGTCGGAAGCGGACTCTTGGGGTCTCTGACGAAGAAGAAGCTGAGGAGGAGGCTGAGAGGAGGAAGGAGAGGTCTAAGCGGGGCAAGTTTGCTGTGAAGGAGGAAAAGAAGGACTTGAATGAGGTAGGTGGTACCAGGTGAGGTTAGAACCTCCTTCCCCAGGGTTGCAGTCTGCACCAGCTCCGTTTATCTTTTGTGATTTGAGCCTTCCAGAAGCCCAGTTCATCTCTATAGGACTCTTAGTCACACAGATGACTTAGAAACATGGCGCCAGGTAGGCTTCTGAGTGAGGCTGGCTTCTGGCTCTCATCACAGGATGGAGGTCACACACATATCAAGGAGGCTCGGAACCCTTTGCTTCCCTGTGTTTGTGACTTTCCTTTGCATACTGTCTTGTTTATAAAGGTGGCAGAAGGGTAGATACTCAAGGTAGTGTTTTGGAGAGCAGCTCTTGGTGAGACACGGAGATGTAAATGGCCACATAAGATAACATGAGGTGACAGCTAATGACCCTGGGTTGCCAGTCATGTAAAAATCTGCTTTTTGGGGGCACTGGGGATGGTTCTAACAGACTCTGTTCTCCTTACAGCTCTCGGACAGTGCTGGGGAAGAGGACCCAGCTGATCTTAAGAGGGCTCAGAAAGGTGAGTTTGGGGAGGTACCTGGCAGCCTGTGGGGGAAAGGGTAGTGGGGCCCCTCAGCCAGCAACTGTTTATCCTGAAGGCTCTTGAAGGCTTTCCTGGCTCTGGGCTCTTGTGCAGCAATGGTTCCAAGTCTAACAGAAGAATTCTGAAGATAGCACACCCTTACGTGTATTTTTAGCACAAATTTCTTGGCTTGCACCTCTGGCAGTCACTCATCCTGCTGCTCTTTGGCACCCTCACAACAGATGGGGAAAGGAGATCAGGGTGGCTGGGCTTCATGTTCCTGGCAAAGTACAGGCAAGCATCTAGGGGTTCTTGTCTCTGCAGATCCTGGGACCGCCTCTCTCAAGGTGGCCCTGGCTGAGTGGGCAACTTTGTTAGTGTTCTGACTCCCGTTCCATCCTCATTCTTTCAGATAAAGGGTTGCATGTGGAGGTGCGTGTGAACAGGGAGTGGTACACAGGCCGCGTCACAGCTGTGGAGGTGGGCAAACATGTGGTGCGGTGGAAGGTGAAGTTTGACTACGTGCCCACAGACACCACTCCGAGAGACCGCTGGTAATGCCCCTTTCCAGAAGCTGACAGAGTTGGCCAGGCCAGGGGGAGGTCTATCCCTGGCCTCCCAGAAGGTGGCCCATCCTGGGCGCCTGGGGCACACATGAAACAAGTGCTTGTGTGCCTCCTAGGGTGGAGAAAGGCAGTGAGGATGTGCGGCTGATGAAGCCCCCTTCTCCGGAGTACCAGAGCCCCGACACGCAGCAGGAGGGTGGGGAGGAGGAGGAGGAGGAGGAGGAGGTGGTGGTGGCCCAGCAGGCTGTAGCCACGGCAGAGCCCTCTACTTCTGACTGCATCCGCATAGAGCCTGACACCACTGCCCCGAGCACCAACCACGAGACCATTGACCTGCTTGTCCAGATCCTCCGGTAATGTGTCTTCCCAGTCTGGGGCTAGCTGTGGCTCTCCACACTTGTTCTTGCTATTCTGAATTTCCGCTCCCACCTTCTTCTTTCTTTAGGAATTGTTTACGGTACTTTCTGCCTCCAAGTTTCCCCATCTCCAAGAAGGAACTTAGTGCTATGAATTCAGATGAGCTAATATCATTTCCTCTGGTGAGTTTGGCCTAACCTTTATTTTTATTCTGCATGACCTGTCAGCTTCGTGCTTTTTGTGATTGCCAGCCCTTGTTGTGTTCCCCCCCCCCCGCCCCGTCCCCCCGTAGCTGGATATGACTGTGATGTGCAGAAGCCAACCACAACCACAACCATAAGATGCTGGGGCTGAGTCCTCACTTCAGGACAGCAGGCCTGGTTTGACATTTTAGAATGAGTATATCCTTTTTCCTCTACCCCAGCAGAGGGAGTAAACTTGTTCCAGGCAACAGTGAAGAACTTAGGCTCAAAGTACCTAAAACTTGACTCTTAGAGCGAGGTGGAGATGTCTTGAAAGTAAGCACTGGGTGTTATTATGCTGATGTGGCACAGGCCCGTGCTGGACCTCTTAACAAGCAGCAGAAGAGAGTCCTGCCTCCAAGTGGCGTAGGATTCAATAGAGACTGAATTTTTACCAGTAGTTGGACATGAGACTGAGAGCAGTAAGTGCTGTGGAAGCAGGTGGTTGGGCTGTGGCAGCCTTGGGAGGGGAGAGAGCAGGAGTCTGAAGTGTCTGTATAAGTGACAGGGAAGCTTTGAGGTAGGGGGACTTCGTGAGCAAGGGGTCAGAGGGATGAAAGTTCCCAAGTCAAGGCAGCAGGCTGTGTGGTGAGCATTGAGGGAAGAAGAGGGCCTGAGAGCCAGGATATGGTGCGTCTTGAATGTCTGGTCTTAGGCATAGTGGTTTAAACCTTGAATAAAATGAAGGGCCAGCAAAAGTTTTGAGCTGGGGGAACTGTCAGTTTGAACCTGGTCTACAAACTTTCTGTAGAGGGCCAGTTAGCAAATATTTTCAGCTTTGTGGGTTGTATAGTCTCTGTGGTAACTACTGAACTCCACTATTACAGCGTGAAAGCTGCCGTAGACAGTTTGTAAGGGAATGGATATGGCTGTGCTCCAATAAAGCTCTATTTACAAAAACAGGTGGCAGGCTGATTTGGCCTGGGGCTCTAGTGTGCTGACCCCGCCCTAAGAGGATACCTCTTGTGGCAGTATGTTTGGGTGGGATGCGTGGATGGGAGATGCAGGGGCAAGGGGGCGGGTCCAGTTGTGACAGCTCAGAGGTGAGGGAACAGGAACTTGAGCCAGAGTGGAGGGGGTGGACTGGTGGGTGAAAGGGCCATGTCAGAGGTTGTTGACTGGAGGCAAGTGATGGGGGAGGAGGCAGAGGCCACGTGCTTCTCTATGTCTCAGGCCTTTGGGAAGTGATGACAAAGCTGTTAACTGGAAGAGAAAACAGAGGGTGAGGGTAAGAGAGGTGATGAATTGTGATATGTGTTGGGCTGGAAGCACCAGCACCTACATTTCTGGTGATGTCCAATGGGCAGGTGGAGACTGGGGACTGGGCACTTGGGAGGGGTAGGAAGGCCGGGGCTGCATATGGGATCTGGGAGTTGTCTTTCATTGAGTGGGATAGATATTTTTATGGTTGGAATAGCTTAAGTTTTCTAGGGAGGAGTTTCTAGAGAACAGAACTAGAAATCGAAATTGCAGGGCTAGTATGTTCAAGACGTTGGGCCCTCGTATGGCAGCTGTGTGCTTGATGGTTTGCCAAAGAGGAAAAGATGGGGTTTTAAGTCTCCATTCTACTTAAAAAAAAAAAAGTTAGGAGTTGAAGAAACTGAGGCTCAGAGAGATGAAGAGTCTTTTGTGATAGAACCCAGATTTGAACCCAGGTACTTCTTCTTTAGGACAAGGGTCTTGCCCTTCTTCCAGTACTGCCTTGCTTCCCCATGAGATGAGAGGGTAGGTGTTGGCAAAGGAAGCTAGGGGATGGCAGAGCTCGTGATAGTGTCCCCAGAAAGCTCCATGCCTCAACTCTTGCGCTTGTTGAGGTTGCAGGTGCTCTCTGCAGATCCCAGGAACAAACCACTGATAGGATGGCTAGGGTGGCCTGGCATCCTCTTGTCAGTCAGATTTGTTGATTTTGGCTTAAAGTTGTCAGACTCAGAGTGAAGCCTGAGTGGGATCTTTGCTGCTCAGACCAGAAACACAGCCAAGATCATCTGAGCCTAAAAGTCTGTTAGCTTATGCTTATAAAAGGTATATCACCATGCATCAACTTTTAATTTTTATTTATATTTTTTTAGTGTTCCATGATTCATTGTTTGTGTATAACACCCAGGGCTCCATGTAGAACGTGCCCTCTTTAATACCCATCACCAGGCTAACCCATCCTCCCACTCCCCTCCCCGCTAGAACCCTCAGTTTGTTTTTCAGAGTCCATCTCAATGCATCAACTTTATAGTCTGCTGACTGTAATGTCTAAAATAACTTAAACTAATTTTTTTAATGTCAGGGACACAACAGAGTCTAATGTTCGTTATGCTCTTGTCAGTCTGTAAAATATCATCCTTTTTGCCACCATACTGGACTAGGAGTTCCATAAAGTTCTCAGGAGTCCTGCAAATACTAGATTTAAATATGTATTTTTAAAAAGTAATATAACCATGTAAATCTATAATAAAGAGTTAAAAAACTAACATCATAGGCTCAAGACATCGTATACTGAATTTTAATATTTTGGAGTCTGCTCACTTATTTTGTGCTGCCAACATAATTTTTTACATAAAACTTCAAATTTCTTTTGCCATCTTGGTTTAATAGGATACTCTACATTGTAAGGTAAATGACATAGTTAAGTACTTTCCAGTCACACTTTTTAAAAACAGCAGTCAGGAGCCAGTAACGCTTTTTAAAATCATTCAGGAGCCCCTCAATGCCAGTAGCTCATACATCTTTATAGAAGCATATAAACACATGAGTTGATAAGACTACAGTGGTCAGCCAGAACCACTCATTTTCATCAAAATGGCCTTATTCTCATTGGTGACTTAAGAGTAAATGATGTTATAAATTTGAGCTTTGAAAATAGATACTGCTCAAATTTTTTTACAATTAGATTCCATGTAACATTTCTTTTGAAGCAAGTGTTCTGCTACCTTTTAAAAGTTTGAAAAGCCTCATGTCTAGGGAAACTGCTAGTTTACCATCACTATACCCCACATTTTGGAAGTTTCAGGTACTCAGGAAAGATAGTAAAAGCTCTAATGTTGCTTATAGAAGTATACTACACAAATCTGAAGGTATTTGCTGCTGGTGGGTGCTTGATAAATATTTCTGGAAGAGAACTTTTGGTTCTTACATTGTGGGGCGTGACTTGCAATGGGCTGCCGAGAGGACTGTGGTGAAGTTAGAAAGGTGTGATTGAGCTGGGAGAGGGACTCGTCCTTTTTGTGCCAACTGGAATGGCATCCCTCACTAATAGCTTGCTGTCTGCCAAGGGCTGAGGGCTTCACATTGGGTGATCCTATCTCCCTCTCATGGCAGCCCCATGAGATGGGCATCAGGTTTTTCCACTCTGGAGCTAGAGAGCCTGCTTGTCCCTTGTGTGTGACAATCCCTTCACACTGAGCATCCTTGTGCTGAGCCAGGGTGGGGATACTAGTGCTAATCTAGAGGGACCCTTGGGGCCCCTGTAAGTTCATGCAATCATCCTGTGGGTTCCCTCCCTACAGAAAGAGTACTTCAAACAGTATGAAGTGGGACTCCAGAATCTGTGCCATTCCTACCAGAGCCGTGCTGACTCACGGGCCAAGGCCTCCGAGGAGAGCCTGCGCACTTCTGAGAGAAAGCTCCGAGAGACAGAGGAGAAGCTGCAGAAGCTGAGGACCAACATCGTGGCGCTCCTGCAAAAGGTGCAGGAGGTGAGCCAGGCAGCCCTCTCATTGCAGCTGGACCACCTGGTGTCTCAGGGAGGGGGGCCTGGGCACCTCCTGCTCCCTTCTCCCCACTCACAGGAATCTGTGGTTCCAACCCTGGCTGCACAGCATCCTGACCAGGAGGGCTGGAGGTGGTGCGGCTGCCTGGGCCTCATCCCAGCCAGACCCACGGTATCAGATTTTTGCCCTTGTTTAGATCTTATTTACAACCTAGTTTGAGAATCCTCCAAGCCATAAAACAGAAAGAAGTTCTTGCTTTTCCAGATGACGCCCAGATTGGGATTGGGTTGCCCAGAAGTGGGGAGTGCCTCTGTAGGGTCTTAGTCCTTCACCCAGGCAGTGAAAACTGTGGACTTGCTCTGTGTCTGTCCTGTGGATACCGGGTGAACCAGATAGGCAAGCTAAGATCCCTACCCTCATGGCCCAACAGTCTGGTGCACAGAATTACTGATGGGGGGAAGTGCTATGAAGTAAATACAAGAGAAGGAAACATGGAGGCCACTTTACTAGGATGTTCTAAGAAGGGGTATTTGAGCTGAGAGTAGAATCAGTCCTACAAGATTGGATGTGAGTGCTTTGGGCAGAGAGAAGAGTAGGACCTGAGGTCAAAGGCAGGGACTTGTGGGTGATAGAAGAGGCAGGCCTATGTGAGGTGGGCCGTCCCTGGAGGGGTTTGGCACAGTCCTTTTTGCAACCTAAGATACTTACGTGGTTGGTTGTAGGAAGTCCTGGAGTTGGGTGGAAGTTAGAAGCTAGGGCTTGGGTGAGGAGGTTCCCACACTTATCTGGGTGAGAGATTTGGTGGCCTGAATCTTGGATGGTGACTGTGAGAAAGACAGATTTGTAATATTTGGGGGGAAGGAAGGAAACGGGTGATTCTAATGGTTTGTCTTGAGCCCCTGGGTGAGGGAAGGTGGTAGCCTGTACTGAGATGGGCACAACCCGGGGTGGGGTGATGGAGTTGGGCTGTTTTGAATACTGAGTCTGAGAAGTCTGCAACACATCTAAGGCACCAGGAACCTGGGGTAAAGGCAGGGCAGGAGCAAGAAATCTGGGCGTCATCTGTGCACAGAGGATGGGGAGGGGGAGAATGATCAAGATGGGACAGGCCTGACAGCAAGGGCGGAGGAGGGGGTTGGGGATTCTGGGCTCAGGCTCCTTTGCCTGTGAGAAGGATGGGGAGGTGGCCCCCCTCCGCCCACCGCCTTCTGGCCCCTAGCTGATTGCTCCCTTCTATTCCAGGACATAGACATCAACACAGATGATGAGCTGGATGCCTACATCGAGGACCTGATCACCAAGGGGGACTAAGGGGCTCAGAGACAAAGATCAGCTCCTCTGCCCTTCAAGGCAGAGTTCTCGGGGTGGGGGGAGTGTTTTGTTCATGGGTTGGTGGAATTACCTTGATTTGATTCACATGAGACATTTGTGCTTTTGAGGGAAAAATACTCTGATTCTTTGAATCTTCCTCCCTAAGTTTATAAATATTTATTTTTTAAAAGAAAAAAGATGCTGCGCCTGCTATGAGACCATACATTTTTCTTTTGGTGACTCTTGGGCAAAGGACAGAGAACCAGGATGCCAAGCTCCTTCTCTTGGCTCCTGGCTCCTCAAGATATGGTAAACCCAGTGTCATCCATAAGTCAGAGAGGCTTCAGGGGCAGGGCTTAGCTCTTCTAGAGGATGAACAGTGTTGATAAGGGAAAGAGCCCTCCAGAGTTGTGCTTCTCCTAGTGATCTGGGGGACCCCTGGGGGCAGTGGATCAGGATAGAGGCTCAGTGCTGAGCAGCTCCCTTCTCAGGTCAGGGACATGAATGCTGGCCCAAGCAGGTGTCAGTCATGCTGTGGCATTGTCCAAACAGCTTGGGGAAGAAAGATCCTCCCATTCAATTCCCCCATCCACCGTTCAAGTTCTCCCTGTGGCAGTGATTTCCTCAGTTAACTATGGATAGTGAGGTTTCCCACCTCAAAAACTTGAGTCCAGATTGAGTAGTAGATCTGACTCTAGTGGAGTACACACTGAATGAATGTTTGAATTCCAAAGGATTCTTTTTGAGAAAGCTCCTTATGACAGAGCCCCTGGTGCTGATCTGGTGGTGACCTCTGCCTGTGGGTTTGGCAGGGTCTGGAGGGAGCACACTGCCTCAGATGGTGCTGGCTGATCTGGAGAGCCTGCTGCTGCTGTTTTTACTGTTTCCCCTCTGCCTGGCCTCACCGGTCCCTGCTCTAGGCCAGATAGGAGAGGGGGTCACTGAGCCACAGGGACTCCAGAGGCAGCTTTGTAGGAAGCACACCATGCCTTCCCTCCCATCTAATCACAGCCTCACGCAGCTGTGTCCTTCAAGTGACTTCTCAGGGTCAAAGACAAAGGCAAGAGTTGCTGTTTCTCTTTAGTGGTCATTGGAAAAATTCTGGTTTGATTTCCCCCAACTCTCTCCTCTATAGTTGGGGACTTTGGGTTTTCTAGAGGCACAAGAACTATGGCCTGGTACCACTGGTCTGTGATTCAAACCTTTCTGGGTGTGTTTCTGGCATCTACCCACTCCAGGTCAACAGTGGCCCACATGCCACTCTGTGGCCTCTGCAGAAGACTGGGAGGCACTGGTGAGGGAAGTCTTTACCCACTTCTGCACGTGTCCAGAAGCACCTGCAATTTGTGGGTTTGGGGCTTCCCCAAACCACATCCCTGTGGCAGGGTTATTTGGGGAAATACCACTCAGAACCTGGTCTCTTCCTCTGGAAGATTCTCTGAGCCTAGGGGTTTCTTGAGCTGGTGATTCCTCTCCTGTCCACCTCGCTCTCTTCATCCCAGGCAGCATGTGGTTCATTTTTGTCTCCAAACCTACTGTTTTAATCTAAAGGAAGTTGGTTCTGCATTTTTACCAGAGGGTAATACCCAAGTTTTTTATTTACATACCTGTAATCAAAATGCAATACTATAAAACTTTTACTGGTGAGACTCCTGAATTCAGTCTGTTTTCTTCTGTTAGTAAAATCTAACACTTCCTACTTCATTCTTTCTACCACTATGGTTTTAAACTGTCTTCAGATTATTCCTCATCACCATCTTTTTCTATATTCACCTTCCTTAACACGCACAGAAACAGAAATGCTGAACTTCTTAAAACATTTTAGCTTGAACTCCATGTGCCCACTTTGCTGTTTAAATCCAATCACAGCTGTACTGAATGTAGCGTTTTGCCCAGACGGAGCTCCTGCCATTCTGGGTGGGAAGATAAAGTGCAGGATTCCTCCCCTTTCCATGTGATGGGAACTGCTTGGAACTTTCTGAAGACTTGGGAGGAGGGAGTGGTCTGGCTGGTTTGTGGCCTGAGGGTCCATATAGCATAATGGCTGCAAAAAGGTGAATGAGTACAGCATTGCTTGTTTGTTTGTTTTAAAGATTTTATTTATTTATTTGAGAGAGAGAATGAGATAGAGCATGAGAGGGGGAGGGGCAGAGGGAGAAGCTGAGCAGGGAGCAGGATGCGGGACTTGATCCCGGGACTGCGGGATTATGACCTGAGCCGAAGGCAGTCGCTTAACCAACTGAGCCACCCAGGCGCCCTGGCGTTGCTTGTTTTTAAGGAATGAGAGCAATGGGGACTTTCTTTAGTTTTTAAGTGACACATGCATAACAGTAAAAATTCAAACAGTACAAAAGGCTGGAAAGCCTGAAAAGCAAGACTCCCTTTCACCCTTGATCCCTGTTTTTCCTTGAAAAGAATATCCATGCTAAGCACACATCTGTTCTGTTTCTGCCTGTTTCCCACTCAGTGTATCTTGGAACCTGTTTCAGAATAGCCCATATGGGTCTACTTTTTTCTTCTGCACAACCTCATAGCATTTCATTGTCTTGGATGTACTGATGTTTAAGAGTCTCCTACTTAACAAACATTTGGGTTAACATTTATGAAAAAATGCTATGATGAGTGTGTGTATTTTTTTTTTTTTTAAGATTTTATTTATTCATTTGACACACAGAGATACAGAGAGGGAGAGAGAGAGCATGAGCAGGGAGAGAGGCAGAGGGAGAGGGAGAAGCAGGCTCCCCGCTGAGCCAGGAGCCCGATGTGAGGCTCGATCCCAGGACCCTGGGATCATGACCTGAGCCGAAGGCAGACGCTTAACCATCTGAGCCACCCAGGCGCCCCGAGTGTGTGTATTATTAACTCAGATCTATATGTATGTATGGGAAATTCCAAAGAGAAATGGCTGTGTCAAATGGTAGATAATAATATTAAAAATACTAAGATACAGTCCAGAAAAGACCTCCAACTTTAACTCCTACCAGCAGTGTATTCTGCCCCCGCCCCCACCACACTTGTCAGTATGCAGTCTCTTCTATCCTGTGTACTAATCTGAAAGGAGAAAAGTGATATATTTTTGAGTTGGTTTGAACTACGATTGAGCACCTTCATTGGCCAGTCGTGTCTCTGATGCAGTCTGTAGTTCTGAATCTGGATTAGGGACTTCTGTACAAAAGTTTACAAAAATAGAAGATGATAACCAAGGGGTGAAGTCCTCAGGAAAATGTTCACCTTGTACGACCCTTTCAGGCCCCAAGTGTCCCATGGACAAAGGTTTAATGTGTTTGTTTACTCAAGGAAGGCATGGGTTAATAGTTGAGAAAAACTTTTCTGGTTCCTCCTTTATCTGAGTGACACTACTTTTTGGCTGCTCTTATTGGGTCCAGTTCCCCATGTCTACATAACTGCCTTTCAGACCTGTGGTTCAAGCAGTGGTAGCCAAGAGTTCTTAGCTCTAAGGACCAGTAAGTGATAAAGCTCAAATTTCTTTGCCATTTACGTAGAATACAGGGCTTGACTGGAGTGGGCAGTGTTTCCTGGTTACTTGTCCCTGTCGGAAGATTGTTCTAGCTGGGCCAGGCTATAAGGGACCTATGGTCACTAAGGTGCTTGAAACATCCTCAGAATTCCACTAGAGGGTCTGGCCTTTGTTGGAGATGGCACCTCTGAGGCTTCCTTTTGAATGACCTCATTGCTTTTGGTTCCCTGAACAGGTAAATGGCCAGCTTGGCCAAGGGAGGCAGAGCTCCATGGGAACATGCTTTCTCTGCTGCCCTGTTTGAGGCCTCAGACCGTTCTGTTCTCAGCACTAATGGGGTCACCCTTCATAGTGAGCAAGACAAAGACTGGACAGAGGAAGGCCCTGGCAAGGAACATCTCACTCTGCAATGAGCCAAAATACTGACCAGTATCTCCCCCCACCCCGCGGTCTTCTAACTAGGGCTCCTGGTGGGTCCTGTAGAATTTTCCTTCTAGCTCACAAGGCCTCAGACAAATCATTGCCCATCCTGGCTTATTTAAGCTATGAGGCTAGTTCTCCACCTTAAATTTACTCAGAGGCCCATATAGATAGCCACTAATCTAGGGCTGGTCTGAAGCTGGAATGGAGGTCCAAAGCCCTTGTGGCCCTGACCCTGAATTTTTGTGTCCAAGATTCACTGGTCCCTGCGAGCTACCTGTAGGCATTTCACTGCTTACTCAGTGGCCCTCCGGGGGTGTTACCCCATAGCCATCCTCATGGCTGCCTAACCATTTGGCCTGTTTCAAAAGTATCCCTTAAGGGTAGGGAGGGGCGGGGCTTCCATCCAGCCTCCTTCGGGGCTGCCCTGTAGGTTGCCTATGGTATATTCAGGCATTCCCAGCAGTTGGCGGCCAAGGCCTAGAGAGTGGGGGAGCTCATACCACAGGGGCACACTTAGACCACTGAGAGAAGGATCTGATGGACATGGACATATCTTTTCCCCCTTTCCCCTCTGGACTTGGCAGAGATGCTTCCACGGGATTCGCTGGGGCCACTTCCTGCTCGAGCAACCGCCGGTTGTTTGGGAAGCCGTGGCCAGCTCTAATTCACCACTTTGATTTTACTGTCCCTCCCTTTACACTTTTCCTCTAACGAAGCTCTGGGCTCTCACTGCCCTCCCTAATGCCACCTTTTAGGCCAATCTGTCACCGGGTGTGGGGCACTGCGGTAGGAGGAGAACTATTAGAAGGGAAAGAGTTCTGAGTTCTTACTCTAAACCATCTATCACAATACGACATGGGCTGGAGAACTGGCTGCAAATTCTTACCTGGCCCAGAAGACGCGGCCAGGATCCAGCTGCAGTCCCATCCGGGCGCCGGCCTTCCAGCCCGCCGACCGTTGCTGGTCGGCCGAGCGCGTCCCTTACGCCAGTTCTCCAGACCCTCGAGGCGGGAACGTAACAGCACCTGCGCGATGCTGCTGCCCGGCACGCACGTGTGCGGCTGCGCCATGCGCATGCGTCTGGGAACATGACAAGCCCGCCAATGGGGCGGTGGGGCAGGGGAGCAGGCTAGTGGGGAGGAAGCAGCGTGAGGAAACTAAGGTACGCGAGGCCTGCGGGCTGCAGGGTCGGGATGTGGAGACCTGGCAGCACCACCACACACGGCCAGACTGGGGGCAAGCTGGGGGGCGGCGGCCCCAGGGTCTTCACATCCTAGGGCGAGCGAAAGGCCTTGGGGATCCAATGGCCTGCCCACACCCCAAGCAGAAAAGTGGGTGGGGTTTTTTGTTGTTTTTTTGTTTTGTTTTTTTCTTCTGGCGTCTGCGTATTAAGCCCGAGTTGTTTTTCAACTTTTTTTTGGCCACTACAGAAAGCATTTTGTATAGATGACTTTGCGGTGTGGTGCTTTTATATCTGCAAGATAAAGGACCTGGAAAGGAAGCTGCATGTTTTACATCGTAAAATAGCCATCTGCAGGTAATTTTCCTCGAAGGTCTGGCCTGCTTGCCAGCCTGTCGGCCTCTCCCAGGACCTGAGGCATCTTGTGTCTCACAACCTTGGCCCATTTTCTACTGGTTTGTCCTTAGCTTGGTGTATGGTGTTACTTGAAAGGTAAACACTTAGGATTTGGGGATTCTTATCATGCTTAGGAAAACCTCTCCCTTCCTCTTCATTGCCTTCCCCCCAAATTCTCTTACGTTTTGTTGCAATATTTAAAAAAAAAAAAAAAGTCAGTGTCCACTCCCTGTGGAATTTTAGCTTAAGCGGTAAGGCAAGAGTCAAGCTTTGATTCTTCTTTCAGATGGGAATTCACTGTTTGCCCCATTTAAGTGAACAACCTTGGTCATTATTTATATTCCATTCTATTTGGTGGCTCCTTGGACGTGTCAGTGAAGACGTCCTGTTATCGGTTGGACAGGTGATTCTGATGTGAGGGGTGGGGTCCCAGCTGAAACTAGAATTTTGGGCATCAGGAGCATCTAGATGGATCAATCTCCCTCACTGTTTCTTTCTTTCTTTCTTTTTTAAAATATTTTTCCAGGCTATTCTTAGAACTTATTGTTAAGTGAAATTTATTTTTTTAAGATTTTATTTTTATTTATTTGAGAGGGATAGAGAGTCGGAAGGAGGGGCAGAGCAGGAAGGAGAAGCAGACTCCCCACTGAGCAGGGAGCCCAGCGTGGGACTCCATTCCAGGACCCTGAGATCATGACCTGAGCAGAAGGCAGACGCTTGACCAACTGAACTGCCCAAGCGCCCCTGTTAAGTGAAATTTAAGATCATGTTACCCAGTTTTTCCCCATCCTTGCCAAATAAAAAAGTTCCATTGTGATTTAAATTATAATTGCATTTAACTTAGATGTAACTTATGGGAGGTTGACATTTTTATGACCTTAAATCTCCCCAGAGGATACAAAGTGGTTTTTCATTTGTTTGACTCCTTTTAGTCCTACAATAAGATTTTATAATTTCTATAACTTTCTCATTTTTTTCTGTTACGGTTTTTGTCAGTATTGTGAATGGGTTATTTTTTCCATCTCTGTTCCTGATTATTAATACAGAGAAAAGCAAACAATTTATTTTCTGTTATGAACTCTGGTAGTTTTAAAAATAAACTTACTTTTTTTCATAGATGCAAGCCTTAAATTTGCCAGTACACCAATTTAATTGCCATTTTATTTTTTAAAAATATTTT